GGGACTCGATCCAGGGACTCCAGGATCATGACCTGAGCCGAAGGCAGCCGCTTAACCAACTGAGCCACCCAGGCGCCCTGTATTGAGATTTTTATTGAGAATAGAAAAATGATGACCTTGAAGGGTAATTAATTTTTTTGGCTTTTTGGTTTGTTTTGGGGAAGGGGGTGTTTTTGCTCTCCCATACCAAAAGGGAGACATAGCAGTGGACTGATGTCTCTAAAACCTAGTGGCCTAACATTTCGGGGAATTTCCCTCATTTTACCTATAACCAAGAATCCTGTTATGTTCCAAAGAAGCATGTCTTGGTGGATTAAGATGACAGTAGAGCTTCTAGGAAGAGGATGGAGGTGGATCCCTAGGACCACCCCTAGTCCGCACACTATCTTTTGTGAGAATTAGAAGGCTCTCCTTCTTCCAGGAAGATGTAGCCCATGCCAGGTGGTGGTTTGGTGAGCATGGTGTGAACTGGTTTCAGTGCCCCGGCCCTAAGTCCCTTGGCTGGGTGCATTTGTGCAAGGCATTGTTGTAAGTGACAGACCTGTGGAGATCAGTCTTTTGGTCTAACATGAAAGCAGGAGCCCATGCTATATGATTCAGCATCTAGATATTGCCTGCAAATTCCTGACAATAAACAAATTGTTTTGCTTCAAATGTGTGAACCTGCAGCTCTCCTCTTCATTCTGAGATCTCTGTCCTTCTTGGAAATGGTTGCAACTTCCTCATAAGAACATGACTCCAAATAACACTGCCATACCCAAAGTCTGAAGGGCCAGAATCAATACGTGATTTCTCCCTTCCTGTCATCCTTCAGTATCTGATGCCCTACTGTGTGCCATGTGATACAGTAGTGAAATGAACAGATGTAGCCCTTGTCCCCACAGAGTTTACATCTGGTGGAGTAGAAAAATGAAACAATTACAGTTCAGTGTGATGAATGCAATGACCAAGGTAAGCCCAGAATGTTCTGGGAATACACAGGAGGCATCTAACCCAAACTTGGGAGTCCGAGGAAGTCTTCTCTGAATAAATTCCATCTAAACTGACACTAAAGAATAGGAATTTTCTGGGGGTGCCTGGGTGGCTCAGTCGTTAAGCGTCTGCCTTCGGCTCAGGTCATGATCCCAGGGTCCTGGGATTGAGCCCCGCGTCGGGCTCCCTGCTCAGCGGGAAGCCTGCTTCTCCCTCTCCCACTCCCCCTGCTTGTGTTCCCTCTCTCTCTGTGTCTCTGTCAAATAAATAAAATCTTAAAAAAAAAAAATAGGAATTTTCTGAGCAAAGAAATGTGTGTGTTGGAGAGGGGGTGGCAAGGGGTTCAAGGAAGTGGGAATAACCTGAAAGAGTAGTCAAGAACGAGAGAATGCTGTGTGTAAGATTTGGAGGCAAGAAGGCAGAGCCCCTGGGAAAAGTTGTGTCCATATGGAGACCATCCTTCTATTGTGTTCTCACTTCCCAAGTTTCCTTTTTACTCCCCATTTTCGTTGGCCTTGTCCATAAATCCCAATTCCAATCTTTATCTATAGGCGCTGACCCTATCCAACCAGGCCAGGAAGCAGTACACCATTGGAGAAACAGTGAACCTGATGTCTGTGGATGCCCAGAAGCTCATGGATGTGACTAGCTACTTTCATCTGCTGTGGTCAGATGTTCTGCAGATTACTTTATCTATCTACTTCCTATGGGCAGAGCTGGGACCCTCCATCTTGGCAGGTGTTGGGGTGATGGTACTCCTAATTCCAGTTAATGCGATACTTGCTGCCAAGAGTAGAGCTATTCAGGTAAAGAAACCGAGTCACCCTGGGGATATACACACCTTCTTCAAAGTCTAAAGTCTTTGGCTTACTCTAATTCTTGGGCGTTTGGGCAGGCAAAGCTGATGGAAGATGTTCCAGTATCCCACATGAACATGGCCTACTCCATCTTCCCTTTTCATCTTTTGGCCACTCTTCAGGTTTATATACTCCATCTTTATTCATATGAGAGGGCAGAGCCTAATTAGAGAGGGGAGAGCTGCCCAGGGACCCTGCACATAACTCTTCTACCCTGCTCTGCTGGGCGTCTTTAAAAAAAACAAACAAACAAATTTAAGGAATGTCTACACCCAACGTGGGGCTCAAACCCACAACCCTGAGTTCAAGAGCTGCACGCTTCACTGACTGAGGCAGCTGGGTACCCCAGGGCTGTTCTTAGAGTTCTGGTGATTGGCCCTGTTTCGCCATCAGAGCAGTACAAACCAATCATACAGAGCAGATGCATGAGTTACCCAAACTTTAAGCCTAAGTCCTGGCAATCAGCCCTGCTACTACAGGGGGCAGGGCTCCCTGTGGACAGTCCTTTGATCCGCCAGAAATCATAGGTTGGGTGGGAGGACTTGGTGTACGTGATATAGTCACTCATTCACTTTGCATTCCTTTAGTTACAAATAATTCTTTTTAAAAGATTTATTGTACATATTATTCTGGGAGTATGGCAGCAAATTAGAGGATGCTTTTGCTCTTGTGGAGCTTACATTCTCCGTGGGGTGGGGAGTCAAGCCGTCAACAGAAGTACACAAGAAAACTATCGGGTCATGATAAGTACTATGAAGAAAATGAAATAGGGTGATAGGACAGCACGTGAGTGGGTGGTGGTTTTAGATTACAGGGTCAGGGAAGCCTTGTGAGGAGGATACCTTTGAGCTCAACTCCGAGTAGCAGGAGCCAGACTATGAAGGAGCGAGCCTCGGGAAGTGCACCCTGGGAAGAGGCCAAGCCAGGCCACGCCTGTGGGGGTGGAAATTAACTTGGCACGGTTTAAGGATCAGAACGAAGACGGGGTTGACAGGAGCAGCCTGGGCAAAGAGGAGGGTGGGGGAGAGACGCACCCCATCACTCGGCACCTCAAGTTCCTACCAAGTGACATCCACAGAGCTGCCAGCACGACCTAGCATTTGTGCCAAATCTGGACCCTCTCATGAGGAAGTGTGTTTTGTTTTACTTTTTCCTGGCAGGTAAAAAATATGAAGAACAAAGACAAACGGTTAAAGATCATGAATGAAATTCTCAGTGGGATAAAGGTGAGAAGCCCGGCGGGAGGATGGCCCTCCACGTAAAATGGCAGCAGCAGTGGGTGCGCGTTGCAGGACCCCCCCCACTCATCTGCCCACAAGTATCCAGGTCTCCGGCTTCTCCTCCTAGCTGTTTCAGGCCCTCTTTCGAATCTTGATTTCTGTATTATTTACCTTTAGTGGTTTGTTTTGTTTTTATGTTTTACTGTAGAAATTGTCAAATGCACACAGAAGTAGAGAGAATGATCTGATTGACCCCACGGACTTCTCACCCATGTCTCACAATTATCAGCATGATCTAACTTGGTTCATCTGTGTACCCTCTTCATGCTCTGCTAGGTGATACTTAGAGCAGATCCCAGATACCTTGTCATTTCATTCATAAATGCATTGTATGTGTTTCTAAAAGACTTTATTTTTTAACATAACCACAATACCATTTTCACACCTAAAAAAAAAAAATTAGTCATTTTTGGGTACCATTAAATTTTCCTAATTGCCTCCTATGTCATTTGTTTGCTATGAGTTCATTGGAATAAGGATCCAAAAAATGTCCACACGTGGCATATGATAGTGCTTTTAATCTACAATAGACTGCCTTTGTTGATGGTTTTTTTTTTTAATTTTAATCTTTTTTTGTCCTATTGGAGAAACAAGGTTGTCTTATTTCCTGTATTTCTTACAGATTAGTGATCAGATCTAGGGGCTTGATTAGATAGGTTTTTTGTTGGTTTTGTTTGTTCAGTGGGGCTAGGGAGGAAGGATACTTTCAGGTGGTACTCTGCAGGGGGTCCAGGTGTGGTCAGCCTGATTGACCCCTTATTAGGCTTCCTGCCATTCTTTCACCTAGACCGGTCATTTATGGCCCTGGGCAGCACATTTTGACCCCCTGGGAAGTTTGTAAAACCCACTGAGGCTTGGGCCCTAATTCAAATCATTTAAATTAGACTCTCTGGGGTTGAGGCCTAGGCATATATATATTTCTAAAGCTCCCCAAGAGATTCTAATATGCAGCCAAGGTTGAAAACGGTCATGAAAAAGTTGGTTGCCTTGATCTATTACTAGGAGTTGCAAAAGAGTGAAATTTTAATTCTATTATTCCTTTGGCATTGATTAGCTGGAATTCTATAATGAAGAAGTATCTTAATCACCTAGTTGGTTGCCCTAAAATAAAGTCTGTACAGGATAGGCAGGATAAATGCTTACTTCTTTCCCTCCATTGGCCAGTTTTCAAAATAGTGCATTTCCTCCTGCAAAGGTCACCAAGAAGTTACTTTTTAATATTTGTGTTGTTTTGAATTTAAGGATTTAAGCATTACCCTAAACTTTTTGAAAATGAAACAGAGGCCTCTTTTTTATTATTATGTTTGACATATAATACATCATTAGTTTTTGATGTAGTCTTCAACCGTCCATTGTTGCATATAATACCCAGTGCTCATCCCCACACGTGTTGTGATGCAGAGGCCTCTTTTAACTCCCTGATCTTTCTCTGATATGCCTTTCTGCTAAATGTAGTAAAATGAAAAGCTAGCCCTGGCTTGGAGTCTCAGCTCTAACACTTGCTAGCTTGGTAACTTTGAGCAAGTTAACTAGCTTCTTCAGCCTGTTTCCTTATCACTAAAACTGATACAATAATTCTACAAAAGTAGGGGACTCTCCCTGGTTTGCCCAGAACTTTCTGGGCTTAGCACTCTGAGAGCCCCACGTCCTGAGCAACCCCTTAGACCCACGCAAACTGGGACAATTGATCACACCAAGGTTGTTACAAGGATTGAGTAAGATAATGTGTATAAACCGTTTGTGTACATAGCAGGTTGTCAACAAATGCAACCTACCTTTCTATAATCATACTTTATAATCTGGATTTCTACCCTCCCTCCCCCAGTTTGGAGAACATAGCCTAAAACCTGGGTGGAGGAGACCTCCCTGGTGTCCTTGTGGGACAACAGTGTGAGCTGTGCTGTTTTCTATCCTATTAGATCCTGAAATATTTTGCTTGGGAACCTTCATTCAAGAACCAAGTTCACGAACTTCGGAAGAAAGAACTCAAGAACCTGCTGACTTTTGGGCAGATGCAGTCTGTAATCGTGTTTCTCTTATACTTAACTCCAGTCCTGGTGAGTAACAGGAATCAATGGGTCAGGTGGGCTTCCTGAAGAGGAAGGTCTGTTCTTGATAGACTGACTGCCCAGTGCCTGTAGGCCTAACCCTGAGATCCAGGGAGCTCTGCCCCCTCCTCAACTTCCTGAAGCTGCTACTCCTACCTTATGCCCCAGCTCTAGTTTCACCCTGCTGTACAGGTTGGTGCCCTGGCAGCCCAGAGCAAGTCTCCAGGATGGTCCACATGAATGTGGTATCCAGCAAAGGTTTGCAGAGGAGAGGATCTTCTCTTCTTGAGGAGGCTGTGTGGGCCTAGAGCGGGCAGGAACACCAAAATAGGAGCTGGGAGACCCAAACTATGGTCCCAGCAATACTGTTAATATTCCTTGTGACCCCAGGCAAGATATTTTCTCTTCTCTGGGCTCAGTTTTCTCATCTGTAACACAAGAAGGTTGGGATAATCGTCCCTAAGGCTCCTTCAACTCTGATATACTTTGTTCCTGAGAAAGCATAAGGCTGCTTGAACCTGTTTAGGAACGAATTCCTCATAACCTTGCTTTTCCAGGTGTCTGTGATCACATTTTCAGTTTACGCTCTGGTGGATAGCAATAATGTTTTGGATGCAGAAAAGGCCTTCACCTCCATCACCCTCTTCAATATCCTGCGCTTTCCCCTGAGCATGTTTCCCATGGTAATCTCCTCCATTCTCCAGGTGGGTAGGATCTCTCACTGCTAACTGATTATCTCTGGTTAAAAGCCTTGCATTCCAAAATGACTGGCCTATCATAGCTCACTTCTAGCTTCTGTGGGTGAACTTTCAATTAGAGAGATGTTTGGTCTCTGGAGACCAAGTTTGATCTTATTAAAATCACAAGCTGTCTGAGCCCTAGTTTATCTGAGTATAAAATGGGGATAATCATACCAATCTCCTCTACCTCACAGGGAGACAACAGTTGTGAAAGCATTTAGTGAGAGGATGATGACAAGCCCTGATACCTGGAACATTCCTAAGCCGTTTTCCCAGCCCAGTTTCCCCCACATTTATCCAAGGCTTTGGGGTATTTATACAGAATTCAGGAAATATGGCACGAAGGGGAAGAAAATATTCTCTCTGCATGAAGCCATGTGGTGGTAAAACCAAATGCAGTTCTTGAGCTTCAAGCTGTCAGAAACTGAGTTTGGAGTTCAGGAGGCCTCGGATGGGGTCCTGAAAAATGAGCACAGTCAGTGAGATGGACCAGGTACCAGACCTCAGGAGGATGTTCACGGGGCAGGTGGCAGACCAGAGTGAGGGGGCCAGGAAGATGGAGTGTGGCGATGTGCATCGACCCCAGGGCTGGCTGCCTTCAGACCGCTCAGGCCGTACGAATGATGAGTTTAAGACCTCCCTGTCCTGGAGGGTGTTAAGAAAGGCCTACCAGTTTGGCTGATGAAGAAACAGCAGGCTCATTTTAGATTCAGATAGTTTCTCACGTAGATCGCAAAAGCACGATCAGCAGAGGTGTCCGCTCCCCGCATTCCCTGTCTCACAGTTTGACCCTGACACGAAAGGGGCCAGCTGACCACGCACCACGGGCAGTGGGGCGCTCCTGTCTGAGGCGCTGACCCACGCAGCAGCTGTGCTCAGAGGAGGCGGCAGGGCAGAGAGTCCGCGACTTCGCTAGAACCCAGGTGGCAATGAGAAACCGTCTCCTGGCAGGCTCCCTGGGGATAGGGAGGCAAGTGAGAAATGTCCTTCCGGGAATCCTCCCAAGTTCTCCTGTTTCAGGAGACCACAGGGTGTTCTGCCAATGCTTAGGTCAGCTGCAGTTTAAACCTGGCCCGTGTGGACATTTGTAAGGTCACTGTGGTGCCATGGCCAATTCCTCTATAAAGGGTCCCAGTCGTGGCTCGGTTAGGACCCCGGATGAGCCCAAGGCATGGACTCAGTCATTTACAGAAGAGCACCCCAGGGGCCCAGTTATCAAAACCAGACAGAAGTTAGGCTTTTGTCTTAGAAGAAGGCAGAAGACAGTTTCTGGAACTGGGTCCAAAGACTGGAGAGATGGCAACAGAGTTGAGCCCCGAGTTTTCTAAAGGGCTGACACAGAACATCTTAATGGCCCTCTGCCCCCCGAGGCTGCAGGGTGGCTGAGTCGTTGGTGGGCGTCCAGAGGTGCTGGCTGTGGTATATGGTGAATCAGCTGCGGGCAGCCCGGCAAGTTGACGCTCGGCTTCCACACCCAGGGCCGATGACAAAGTCAAAATCCTCTCCCTGCTTGTGTTTGCCGATGGATATTTTACTCTTCGGCTCCTTTGCCTCCCGCTCTAGGCCAGCGTTTCCAGAGACCGGCTAGAACAGTACCTGGGAGGGGATGACTTGGACCCCTCCGCCATTTGCCGCCTTGACTGCAATTTTGGTAAGAGTTCTGAAGTTGCTCCCCAAGCTTCTTCACAGCGCTGGCACTTTGCTATTCAGGGGCTTAGTGGCAGCCAACTGATTGACAGGGAGAGCTAGAGGGTTTACCTTGAACCGACATTTGCATAATAAGCTTACTGTTTTTACTTAAATGATGTTTTCATTTAGAACAGCATGCTCAGCCAGATTGCTAAACAAAGCTGGGCCAGCTACCCTGGGGATAAGCAGGAAGTCCTACAAAAGATCTAGAAAGCAAAAGTCAGGATGGAGCCAAGCATGTGAATTGGGGAAGGTAGGCTGGAGGGAAGAACATACGCAGGTTCTGAAGATCTGAGGACTGGGGGCAGCCACAAACTGGGCCGAGCTGTGTGTCTGGAGTCCAGGGAGTGGCCAGATTTCTATCTGGAGGTGGAATTTTTACTAGGACACTAGGCAACAGAGCGCCCGAGAGTGGACCCAGAGTGTCTGCAACTCAGGAATCTGGGTTCCTAACAGGCTTGGACATCTGAGCAAAAGGGCCTTTGTTGGCAGGCCACTTTTGGTCTCACCCTGGGAGCTTTCCTTTGCCTCCTGTTAATGGAGGGGCCAGCACCTGATAGCTGATCTCAGGAGCCGCAGAAGGAAGTGAGGAGGGACACATGAGAGCTGAGAAGGGGCAGACAGACACATGGGGACGTCTGTCTGACTAAAAGAGAGGGCCTTCTTCCCCACAGACAAAGCAGTGCAGTTCTCAGAGGCCTCCTTTACTTGGGACCAGGACTCAGAAGCCACCATCCGAGAGTGAGTTGCCTCCTTTCTATCCTGCTGTTCTTCAGGATTCTCCTTGCCAGTCCTGTTCTTGGGGAAGTCCACATAATAGGGCACATGGGAAATGGGCCATGTGCCCACATTCAGTTAGAGATCAGTGCAGGCTAAACTCCTGGAGGGACAAGCTGACGGCAAAACTCCGGAGCCTCTTTCCCCATCACGGCCTCTGCCACCAGCCATCTTCCTGTGGGACTGTGCACCTCCAGCAAAAGAGCCCACGAAGCTTTCGTGCTCTGGATTGTGGATGGAGGGAGCGCAGCGCTGGCAAGTGGCCTGGGGCTCTGGTGTGGTAAAGGATACACACAAGAATCTGAAACCCACTTCAGTTTATTCATTCGTTCAAGAATAGTAATCAAGAATATGGCTTCTTTCCCCAAAATGAACAATGGGAGTTGCCTCTAAGATTCAACTTGAGATCTGGGGTTTGACATCTAAATAACCCATTTCCACATCCCACCTCCTTTGCCCTAAGCCAGCCCTTTCTTGCCATGCTGCTCCTTGCCCAGGAGTTCCCTTACCCACACTTTTGTTCTCCGTGGTTTCGGTTACTTGCAGTCAACCTTGGTCTGGAAGGAGGTGATCCTCCTTCTGACCAACAGTCAGAAGGTCAGTAGTAGCCTAACGCTAGGTCACAATGCCTATGTTATTCACCTCCCTTCAGCTCTTCACATAGACATTGTCTCCTCTTGCATCATCATCAGAAGGGTGAGTGCAGTACCACAAGAGAGTAAGACCACATTCACGTACCTTTTATGACAGTATATTGTTCCAATTGTTCCATCTTATTAGTTATTGTTAATCTCTTACTGGGCCTAATTTATAAATTTAACTTTATCATAGGGATGTCTGGATAGGAGAAAACATAGTATATACAGGGTGAGATACATAGCATACGCCCAACTCCACTGAACATAGCGCACATGATACCCCAGGAAGCTTGTGCAGGCCAGATCTTTCTTCCCAACCCAAAAGATCAGCATACCTTATCTTCTCCCTGTTACACTTAGGACTTGCCACACTTCTCTCTTATTCCTCCTACAGGCTTTGATATGGATTCTGGAACCTGCCCCAGGAGGCATCAGGCCAGGAGCCCCTCCTCTGAACCCTCCCAACCTGAAAGCCTCCCTTTGCAGAGAGAAGACTGGACAGAGCTCCCACTTTGAGCTGAACTTCTTTTAGACTTATACTAGCAATGGGCAGGTTCAGAAAGATTGTGAAGAAGTTCCTGATGTTCCAAATATTCTAGGGACTCAAAAATAGGGTGGGCACAGAGTTTCTAGGAGTCCCGCCCAGTGTGTGCCCTTCCCCAGCCAGACATAGCCAGGTCTCCAGGGGACAGGGCAGGGAATCTGTGCCTTCAGCAGGTGTCCCACTGAATGGCTATTCTCATTGAATAGCCAAGTTTGGGAAACACGGATCTATTCCAACCCCATTAGCTCATAAATGAGAGTCCAGAGGAAGTGACTTTCCAAGATCATACAGCTTAGCAGTAGCAGAGTTGAGACTCGAACCCAGGTCTCCAGACTCACATTAAGGTCTTGTTCAATGATACCATGTTGGTGCTAAGAGAATTTTTCCAGTTGAAAGCTACAATGGTACAAACAGCTTATATAGTTGGTAAGTTAGGATTTACTCTCTAGCACTTTAGAGCTTAAAAAAAAAGTATTAAACACTTCAGAGTCTTCTATATACAAGACAAATTTTCCAATCTTGAGGGAAAATTTCCTAATACCAGACTTCCCATGGATAGTCTGAGAAGTGGCCTGAACTACCCTTGAATAAGTCTCCTCATCTCCTTCAAATACTCTTCTTTTTCAGTGTGAACCTGGACATTATGCCAGGCCAATTGGTGGCTGTGGTAGGCACTGTGGGCTCTGGGAAGTCCTCCTTGATGTCAGCCATGCTGGGAGAAATGGAAAATGTCCATGGGCACATCACCATCAAGGTGAGAGAGGATGCCAAGAAGAGTTCTGACATTCAAATGTGGGCCACTTAGTGCTGCTTTCTTGTTTGGGAAAATGCTCTGAGGAGGAGAATCTGATAACCACTGTTGTTGTTTTGCTGTAGGTGCGGTCTTAGAGACATTTGTTAGACTTGTAAACTGTAGATTCTTGCCCCACTCCACACATAGACTCAGACTCTGGGGTAGATTCTAAAAATCTGCATTTTTAATGAGGTTCACGGGTGATTCCCATATGTATACTTCAGTTTGAAAACTTATATAGAGCTCTCTTCCTTCAAAGTAGAGGCACCTGGGTGGCTCAGTTGGTTAAGCGTCTGCCTTCGGCTCAGGTCCTGATCCTGGGGTCCTGGGATCAAGCCCCACGTCCGGCTCCCTGCTCGGTGGGAAGCCTGCTTCTCCCTCTGCCTCTGCCTGCAGCTCCCCCTGCTTGTGCTCTCTCTCTGTCAAATAAATAATCTTAGGCAATTCTGCTTTATCTATGTTTCTAAAGTGTCATTAAAAACTTACATTACTTTCAGGGTGCCTGGGTGGCACAGTTGGGTAAGCGTCTGCCTTCAGCTCAGGTCATGGTCCCAGAGTCCCAGGATCAAGCCCCAGGTTGGGCTCCCTGCTCAGTAGGGAGTCTGTTCCTCCCACTGCTCCTCCCACTGCTCCTCCCTCTGCTCCTCCCACTGCTCCTCCCTCTGCTCATGTGCTCTCTCTCATAAATAAATAAAACCTTTAAAAAAAACCATAATTTTGTAACCTAGGTACCAACAAAACCAATAACAATAACAACAATTAAAACAGCAGCACTGTAAATCACACTCGCATCACAGTTAGTCCTGGGCCACCTTCCTCCTCCTTTGAGAGCTTGGTCTTTGAGGGCACTTGATTCCAATACAGAAATTTGATAGAGGGTGTAGACATCTTCATCAATTTTTTTTTAACAGAGAATAAATCTTTTCATAGTATCTTTATTAGCACTCTCTGCTTCCCTAGAGAGTTAAATTTAGGGGAAATTATAAGTACTTGGAATCATTTAACCAGACACTACTTGCATCAAAAAAAAAAAAAGGCGTGTCAATAGATTTTTTAGCTTTTTTCCTTAAGAACTTCGTATATTGCTAAGCATTTCTTTTTAATTACGAGAAAGCTTGCCCCTCTGCTTGACACTGACATGCTTAGAAAATTAAGAACTAATGCTTCTTCCACACTATACTGACATTATTCCCTGATTACCAATCACTTATGAGCTAGTTTACATTAAATAAACATGCAGTATAGCAGAACAGACTCTACAGATTAAAATCTATTTCCTAACTCCTTTTTTTTTTTTTAAGATTTATTTATTTATTTTACAGAAAGTGCATGTGAGCAAGTGGGGGAGGGCTTGATTTCATGACCCTGAGATCAAGACCTGAGCTGAAATCGAGTCGGATGTTTAACCGACTGAGCCACCAGGTGCCCCATGTTTCCTAACTTCTTTTGGGAAGCTTTTTCAAAAAAATGTTTGAGTATAGTTGACACACCATGTTACATTAGTTTCAGGTATATTAGGAAGCTTTTTCTTGCTACCTTATAAGTAAGCTCATTCTCAAACACAGGCCTTTGTCAGGCTCCATCTCTCTTTGGATATGATCTGCTTCATGCATCAGCCTGGCACCCTAATTCAAATCTCTTGGTTCTTCCTAAAAATGTCATCTATATCATCTCCCCTGTCAGTGTTAGCCCTCTGTTGGTCTTAGGAAACTCACTGGGGTCTGACTAAAACCTTGTTCTAGAAGCAGCTTGTGCGTTCATCCCCCAATTTTTAGGATCATGGCTAGAAAGTGATAGTAAAAATAAAAAAGGGCAGGAGGTTAAGTGAATAGGATATCGAATCTTTCTCCCTGTTTGGTGCAATAAATACAAGCACATTTATAAATATCAGATGCTCAGTTAGCCTAGCATTCATTTTTTCAAATCTAAGTTCTGTTTTTTCCTCCCCATCCTGCCACTCCCTCCTTCAACCCTGCCTTTCTGGAGATACAACTGTCATGTGCTCTGATCCTTCCCATCTAGGGCACCATAGCCTATGTCCCCCAGCAATCCTGGATCCAGAACGGCACCATAAGGGACAACATCCTTTTTGGATCAGAGCTGGATGAAAAGAGATACCAGCAGATTCTGGAAGCCTGTGCCCTCCTCCAAGACTTGGAAGTGCTGCCTGGAGGAGACCTGGCTGAGATTGGAGAGAAGGTACTTGGAACCCCAAGGGACCTTGAAAGGGTGAAGAAAGAGCGAAGACAAAAAAGTGAGGATGGTGAAGAGGATGGGAGTAGAAGAGCTTGCCAGTTTGGGTAGTCGGGTTGGAACAAATACCAGAAAACACTAGTTTACACAATATTTGAAACTTAAAATTTTGTAGCTGGAATTGTGTCCTCTAAAAGAAAGCTGATGAGGATCTGAGAGGTTAACTAACCAGTGCCTGGCCCAAGGCTGACCTCACAGGGGGAGGAGCAGAGAGGCAGGACCAGAACTTAGGTGTCCTGACTCTACCTCTGGATATGAGTGAAGCCCAGAGAAAGGTGCCGATAATCTCCTTCACACACTTAGAAATTTAGTGTGAATGGTTTTCTCAGGTTATTGAATGCCTTTCTTACAAATAGATTTTTAATGACTCTACTGTATCCATTATGTGGTCACAGCAAAAATGGTAACATATTTCGGGTGTTTTCAACTTTCCTCCCTATCACTAACAATGAATGGAGCAGTCTCTGGGGGACATGGATCTTCAGATATTAGCAGACTAATGAAGATACGGCTCTAGAATGATTTTGTTCATTAACTCAACATACATTTACTGAGGACCTACTATGTGCCACATACTATTTTAAGTGCCGGAGTTACATCCATGAGTAAAATAGAGAAAATCTGCCCTGGTCTAGCTCTATATTCCTACGGGGCAGGAAACAAAAATCATAAGTAAATCATATACTAGAAAATGCTAATTTGGACATATATTTAATAATTGGGCCTGAAGTAATTTATTTGAATCAAAGTTATTTATTTATATAGAGGAACTTGTAAGAGTTTAAAGTCCTTGATACCTTATTGAGGCAAATCTCTTCCTTTCCCCTCCTTAATAAATAGTCTCTGTGAAGGCTGAACTATGGAGTAGTGCTTAATAGAAATTATTTTCTTCTTCAGGGTATAAATCTCAGTGGGGGTCAGAAGCAACGGATTAGCCTGGCCAGAGCTATCTATCAGAATTCAGACATCTATGTTCTGGATGACCCCCTGTCAGCCGTGGATGCTCATGTGGGAAAACATATTTTCAATAAGATCTTAGGTCCCAAGGGCCTATTGAAAGGCAAGGTGAGAAACTAAAGCAAAGAAGACCTTGGGGTGGGGAGACGCATCTCCTAGGACTGCTGCTATCCTGAAGCAAATTTCCTTATTTACCTGCCTCCTAGGCTGCTGAGGCATGGTCTCCCAGGAGAGGACCCATGAAACCTCCCATCTTGAGGTCATGGCTTGTGCTGGAACTGGCTAATTTAAGCCTTATTCTGTGGCTCTGACATTGAGCCTCTTAGGATGATCAATTGTGATAAAAGGCACTTTGAGACCTGTTGTATAATAAGACCTATATTTGGTCTTTGTCCCTGGTTCCTGGTACAGACCTCCTAACCCTTGGAATTTCCTGAGTAATAGAGGAGTGGTTTTTGTTCATAAGCCTAAAGAGTGACTTAGGATGTGGCCCCTTGATAGCCTCAGTACAGGGCTGTTGGAGAGAAAGCTCAGGTGATGGGCAGGTTAGAACTTTCAGCCCACCTACAGACCTCTGGGGAGGGAGAGAGGGGCTGAAGACAGGGTTATAAAAATTTGTGAACAATGAGATTCAGAGGGCTTCTGGATTGGTGACGGCGTGAAGGTGCTGAGAGGATGGCACCGGTGGTGAGAGCAGGGAAGGCCCACAGGTGCGGCCCATACCCCCCATACGTTGCCCTGTGCATTTCTTCCATTTGACTCTTCTTGAGTTGTATCCTTTACGGCAAGCCGACAAACATAAGTCAAGTGTGTTCTGGAGATCTTATGAGCCATTCTAGCAAGTAATTGTTCACGAGGAAGGGGCTTTATAGCTAGTTGGTCAGAAGTATGGGTGGCCCAAGACTTACAACTGGCATCTGAAGTCCGGTCAGTCTCATGGGACTGAGCCCGTAAGCTGTGGGGTTTGTGCTAATTCCAGGAAGTCAGTGTCAGAATTGAATTGAATTGTTGGACACCTGGTTGGTGTCCAAAAACCTCCCAGAGGACCCAACAACTCACCTCACTGGTGGGACAGAGGTCATCCTGCAGGTATTAGAGCTACGCTCCAAGAAGGCACTTCCCTGGATCCCTTGCAGGACGTAGGAATGCTTATGCCTGGAAGGGATGACTCAACTTGAACAGAAAAAAAAAAAAAAAGCTAACATTTCTTGAGTATTTATTATGTCCCAGGCCGGTGCTAAGCACTTTGATAGCGTTGCCTCGTTGGTTCTCACAATGCTCCTGAGAGACAGCACAGATAAGGCAGGCAGAACAAGTCACAAGAGCCGGTGGTAGGTGAAGACTAAGCTTTCCTTACCAAGGGCCAGTTAGCACATTTGTCCAGACACAGTGGGCTGACAGAGCCCCTTGAGGGTTTGAATGTGTTGCTCACCAACAGCAAGTGTAGGATGAGGGCTGTCAAGAACATCTCCCTCAGCACTGGTCATTAAAACTCCATCTGTGTTTGGCCTGTTTCTTTCAAGATTTTTTGCTCACTACCAGTTAAAGGATAGGTGGGCTGCTGTCCTTCTGAGGGCCTTTGCCTCTCTTGGATCAGTGAGTCAACAGGAACTCACCTTCCCTGCTAGTCCTGGTTCTGGCTCCTGTCCGTAAGCCCTCTTGGCTCCATTCATTCATGAACTGTATACCACTCTGTGCCTGATTTGTTGCAAAGCCTGGGCGTGCACAGATGAAAAGGTCTGGTCCCTGCCCTCAAGTAAACATATAATCTAATGGGAAGATATACAGAAAAGCAAACAATAATATTGTAATACAAGAATTATTTTAATGGCAGTCTATACAAACTACAATAGAAGCTTCAGAGGGATACCCAAGTCTTACCTGGGGACTCAGGAAAGGCTCTCAGAAGAGTTGGCTTTGAGCAGAGACTGGGAGGGTAAGCATTTCCTGGGTCTTCCAGATAAGAGGGATCTACTCTCTGTGGGGCTATGAAGTAGAGAGCAGAGGCGGTGGCTTGGGTTATCTCTCCAGAGGCCCTTTCAACCCCATGACCCTTGTCTGAACCGCATTTCTGATCCATGAGCCTTTGTCTTTCTCCGACTGGAGTCCCTTCTTCATCGGTTGGTGTGGTTAAAAAATACACAGGAATACAAGGGATGCCAAGTCTCCCACACCAGGGAGGGCCTGAGCTGAAGACAAAGTTTGATGCCCCTACAGTTTCTCTAATGTGCTGAAAGAATCTGAGCAGCTCTTGTTAGTTCAGTTGGTTAGCTGGTTATTTGAAGGGGAAGTTAGTTAGCTAGTTATTAGGTTTGTATGCATCGGTTATATTGATAGGCTTTGATCTCAAGTGACATTCCTAAGCTCCCAGGAAGCTGGAAGAATGTGTGTAGGACAAACCTCGATGTCACTACAGGAAAATAACTGAATAGATCCACAAGGGAAGGAGTCTCATCTTACACACAGGGTCTGGTGTTAGGATGAGGTACTGGGAAGGAAAGAGGAAGTAAAAGAGGTCAAATGGTCAGGGCTACATTCAGCTCTACAGTGAATTAAGATGACTGTTTTTCTTTTTCTCTCTTTTTTTTTAAGAGCAAGCCAAGGAAAGTGGTAGACATTCTGGGTAATTGGAAGTTAGCTACCCATAGGAGAAGTTAGCTAACCCAAGGAGGTTACTTCCTTTCCTTTTCAAGAGCAAGCCAAGGATGGTTGTGGACAGAGAATCTCACAGTGGGAAGGCAGTGGTACAACTTACTGTTGTTTTTTCAGACTCGACTCTTGGTGACGCATAGCATTCACTTTCTTCCCCAAGTGGATGAGATCGTGGTTCTGGGGAATGGCACCATCTTGGAGAAGGGATCCTACAGCACTCTGCTGGCCAAGAAAGGATCGTTTGCTAAGATTCTGAAGACATTCACAAAACAGACTGGTCCTGTGGAAGAGGCCACAGGTATGTAAGGAAGATTGGAACAAAATAAAGCTTGGGTATGGAAAGGGTAGGAGTGATAAACTGCTATTTACTTCCTGAACTATTAAGTATCCAGTAGATTAGATTTGGAAGTGAATTATCCAGAGATCCAAAATCTGTTCTTTCTGTATTATGTCTCTGTAAAGAAACAGACATAGAAACTCTGTGCCTGAGCCAAACTGGGGGCTCATCTTGCTCATATGGTCTCTGACATGCAGTTGATGGACACTAGAAGGGCATGACTAAAGATTTAGGGTGATTAGCCCTTGTGGAAAAAACACTAGTGGCATCAGGGGCCCCTTTTTAGGGGTGCTGTGCTTCTATTGATTCAAATGACACATCCCACCCCACCTACCCTGAATCCACTAAAACCACTTCCTGGACAGCTTTATAGGCTGGTACTGATAGGGTACTGCAAAATTCTTGATAAGCCCTAACAAAGGCATCTTGACCAATATACCAAAAACCACTGGGTGTTTCAAATCAGGGAAGATCATGGCAGTTGCATGGTCTCACAGTATACCACAGGAACAGACCCTAATACCACCACCACTGGCGTCATCAATTAGTTCTAGTCAGCAATGGCCCTGATCCCTGAGGACCTTCCCAAGAATCTGCCAACAGCAGTCCTGTACATAGTTCTAGGTATCTGCTTCGGGTAGCAGTCACCAGCCCGAGATCAAGCCTGAGAAAGCAAGATCTGGAGGGTGCATCCCAAAAGTCAGTTGGGAGAAGGAGTAGCTACAGAGCCTGCAAGTGGGGACTCATGCAGGTGTTGAAGTCAGGAAATGTGTTCAAAACCACCCTGGGGAGCACAGGAGATGGAAAGAGAAGTCTAAACCAGGAAGTCTGTAAGTGTTGGGGATACGGCAGGAGCAAAGAACAGGATGCTATGGGTGACTGGCAGCCATCCCAGGAAACGGGGGCAGGAGCACCATGAACCAGCAGAAAGAAAGAGGCCAGAATTTTCCATCAGCCCTTATGTACTCTAGGCACTGGCCTGGAGAAAACTAAAAAACACCTGCTTGGGGACCAAATGTCCAAGCCAAAGGGCAGTGTCTGATGCCTAATTCCCCTGAGTCATTGCTCAGTCAACCACATCACCAAGACCTGCTCCAACAGTTTCCTTGTGCTAAGTCTAGCCTTCCCCCCACCCCCACCCCTGCCGCCTTTGGCCATGATCTGAATTTCTGGATTCTGTTATAAACCCCCATGGGTGGGTGTCTCCTTTGAAGAATCCTGTCCTTTATGTACAAAGGTCAGTTTGCAAAACAGCTCATCCAGCCTTTGTTCTGGTAAACACTGATTATCTATTTCTGAGCAATGCCTGGCATGCTGCTGTTGTTGGTTCTGGGACTCAAGGTATAGGCCATGACATGGCAGAATGAAGGGAAGGACAGGAGGGCAAGGTGACCTGTATCAATACTGGTTTGCCGTATTAGTTTCTTAATTAGCTGCCATAGCAAAGCACTACAAACTGAGTGGCTTAAACAATAGACATTTATTTTCTCACCGTTCTGGACGCTAGAAGTCCAAAATCACGGTGTTGGCAGGATTCGTTCTTTCTGAAGGTAATGGGGAAGGACATGTTCCAGGCTTCTCTCCTAGATTCTGGGGCTTTGTTGGCAATCTTTGGCATTTTTGGCTTGTAGACACATCACATTGTTCTCTGCCTTCACCTTCATGTGGTTTGCATGTGTGCATCTACATCCAAATTTCCCCTTTGTATAAGGACATCAGACATAATGCATTAGGGGCCCATCCTACTCCAGTCTGACCTCCTCTTAACTAATTACATCTACAATGAGGCTATTTCCAAATAAGGTCACATTCTGAGGAAATGGAGGTTAGGATTTCAACATATGAATTTGGTGGTGGACACAATTCAGTCTTTCACACCAGTCCTCTGACATACCCAAATTCATATCTTTCTCATGTACAAAATACATTCGTACCATCCCGACATCCTCAATGTCTTAATCATTCCAGTATCAACTCTAAGTCCAGAATCTCATCTGAATGTCAATTCAAGGTCCCACATTTCATCATCTAACTCACGCAAATCAGTTGTGAGTGAGACTTGGAGTCTTGGGGCAGAATTCTTCTCCATCTGTCAAGCTGCAAAATCAGATAACTGCTTCAGTAGTAAGACCGGCAGGCATTAGGATAGACATTCCCATTCCAAAGGGAGAGATCAGTAGGAAAAAAGGGGTCATGAATCCCAAGCAAATCTAAAATCTCACAGGGCAAATTCCACCAGATTTTAAGGTTTGATAATGATCTTGTTTGGCCGATGCTGTCTGTTGTTCAGGCTCAACCTGGGCTGGTGGTTTCAAATCCTCCAGCCCTGGGCAGTGGGCCCACCCTCTGGAACTGAGGAGGAGCCAACCCCGGGGTCATGTTTCCCTTTTCTTGGAGGATAGCCCATGTTCACAATTGGATAGCTCTATTGGTACATTTTCTGCCTGTAGAATCCTAGAAGTCCGGCAGGGTCCCTTCATTTAGTCCTGTCTCTGTCCCCTCCAATCCAAGCCGGCAGCATGTCTGCCAAGACGGTCGATCGAATTAAGTCACAGGCTCAATCTCCTTAGTAAATCTGCCCTTGAGCCTTTCTGGTGGATTTTTCATTTTCGTTATTGTACTTTTCTAGAATTTCTATTTTCTTTTTTAAATTTGATCTCTTTATTGATGTTCTCTATTTGATGAGAACTCATACTCTAGATCTTTGACATGGTTTCCTTTTGTTCTTTGAATATATTTATAATAGTCAATTTGAAGTTTTTCTCTGGTAATTCCAATTTACTTCCCAGATGACCGCTTTTTTTTTTTTTCTTCCTGTATATGGTCCCATGCTTTCTTGCTTTGTAGGTCTCACAATTTTTTGTTGAAAACTGGTCACTCTAAATAATGCAACTCTGGAAATAAGATTTTTCTCCCCTCCTTCCCCTGCCAGGATTTGTTGTTGTTCCTCCTGTCTAGTTTCCTGAACTAGTTCTTAGGAAATCTGTATTCTTTGTCATATGTGGCCACGGAAGTCTCCGCTTGGTTGGTCAGCTAATGATTGGACAGAGATTTCCTTAAGGGCCTGGAACCAATAAGTCACTCAGCTTTTTCTGAAAGGCTTTGTGTGCATGTGCACGTGGTGGGAGGGAAGGCATGTCCTTAACACTCCAGCAGGCAGTTCATGATTCTACTTCACCTTTTTGTTTCCTTCTTGCCCAGAGTCTGAAGGTTAGCCAGGGGTAAGAGAATAGGGCCTTCTCACTTCTTTCTTAAGCATGTGCACAGCCCTACCCATGTGTATGGCACTCTAGATTGCTAGGAATACATTAAAAATATCAAAGCTCCCTAAGGGTATCTTCTTCCCCAGCTTTTCCTTTTAAGTTTTTGTTTAGCTTCTTATTTGCCCCAACTGTAATCATCCCTCAGGCAGCTGTGATGTTAAATAGTTGCTGCTGATTATTTAAGCTAGCTCCAAGTCCGGGCCAATAAAGACAAGCCCTGTGAATGTGGTTTTCTAGAGAACTGCCAGCCAGGTCAAATAATGACAGTTCTCTAGGGATTGAAACTGGTAACCAAAGGGTTAATGGGACTGGTAACCACAACTGCAACTTTTTACCCAGACCTTTTTCATTTGCCTTTAAATTCCCCTGACTCTCCTCCTTTGGGGAGGCAGATTTGAGGTTTGTCCTCCTATCTCCTCATTTGGCCTCCTCTTGCATAAACCCTTTCCTTGCTGAATACTCAATATCTCAGTGATTGCCTTTGCTGTTTATCGGGCAGACAGACTTGGATTTGGTTCTGGAATGAGGCTTTTGGGACAGTTTTGAACACATTCTGTTCCCTCCAGCAGTTAGGAGGCTGCTGATTTTTTGTAGTTACTATGTTTGTAAGGTTATTAATATTTTAGGCTCCAGCAGATCTAAGGGAAGAGGGGATGGGAATGGGGTAAACTATCACAAAACTTATTGTTCTTACTGAGATTTAGCCTTTTTTTTTTTTAAGATTTTATTTATTTATTTATTTATTAGAGAGCGAGCGAGAGAGAAACAGCATGAGAGAGGAGAGGGTCAGAGGGAGAAGCAGGCTCCCCGCTGAGCCAGGAACCCGATGTGGGACTCGATCCCAGGACCCCGGGATCATGACCTGAGCTGAAGGCAGTCGCTCAACCAACTGAGCCACCCAGGCGCCCCTAGCCATTTTTCTTAAATAAATGTTCCTTGGATTGTTGCAAGACTGGTTAATTTCAGAGTTATAAAGTTGATTTTAATAATATTTTGCCATTGCTTTTATGGAGTTACCAATTTCCAGAAGTCTTTACCATTGCCACTAATGCCCAGGCTGTTTTACATTTTATTTTTAATTTTAAAAATTTATTTCTTATTGCAGCATATGTTTTTAAAATGTTTTAAATTCAGGGGCGCCTGGGTGGCTCAGTCAGTTAAGCGTCCGACTCGATTTCAGCTCAGGTCATGATCTCAGGGTTGTGGGATTGAATCCCATGTTGGGCTCCATGCTGGGCCTGGGGCTTGTTTGGAATTCTCTCCCTCCCTCTCTCTCTCTCTCTGTCTCTCCCTCTCCCTCTCTAAAAGGAAAAGGAATAAAAATAAACAATGTTTTGGGCGTCTGGGTGGCTCAGTTGGTTGGGCGACTGCCTTCAGCTCAGGTCATGATCCCATGGTCCTGGGATCGAGCCCCGCATCGGGCTCCCTGCTCTGCGGGGAGCCTGCTTCTCCCTCTCCCACTCCCCTGCTTGTGTTCCCTCTCTCGCTGTGTCTCTCTCTGTCAAATAAATAAAT